TTACTAGCTCATTCTGAGCTTCTTTTTATTCATTTGGCGGCAAGTAAAATATGTAACTTTGCAAGTTTGTATAGCCTAAACCCACGCAATTCAGTGGTAAGAAGCGTCAAACTTTTTGACAGTTCTACCTCTTAAAATCTGATTATTAAAAACAAAACCAAAAGTGAGAACTTAGCCTGCACATACACTAGCTATCAACTTATTTTTGAAAGCTGATAAAATATGGTTGTCAGTTTTGTGCAATTCTCTCCCTCTCTCTCCTGGTTACTAGTTTGATGCCGTAAACCTGCAGTTTGTCCTACAATTATTTTCACTTTTTCTTTAAAAATTTACTATTCTCAGTCCTTTGCTTATTTTTTTCATTTCATCTGGCACACCACTGTATTGCACCTGTATAATTTGCCATATGTGGCTTCTGGACCAAACAGTATTTAAGGTGCCTAATGCAGAGTTAGGCATCACGATGCGTTTTTCAAAAATTTTGTTCAAGACAGCATGAGAAAAGTAATCATTCCATTTATTAGCGTTCATTACTCATTGAAATTCCTTTAAGAAAAGAGTATAAAAGGAAAGATCGCAAGAATTGGAAGAGAAACTAAAAAAGGAAGAAGACTTGCAAAAAGATGCACATTTTGGGCGAAAGACAACCAAAGCTATTAATTGCTGCTGACTAATAAGAATTTTTGAAATTCTTTTTTTTTCTTGCTTAATCCTAATTATCATCTGCTGCCATCAGCTGCAAGCAGCAAGACAGACTAAGATAAGAAGCAGTGACAGAGAAAACTAAAGTAATAACAACGTACTTTCAAAGCTTCTCAAGGTAGAAATGTTACTCTAATTTTATTGTTCCATCTGAAATTAGACAGATAACTTTTTAATCTGGAATTGATATCTTTTATAAGATTAAATTTTCTTGATGTTTTGAAAGTAACCCGAAGGAAAAAAGTCCACTGTCAGTCCATAAAAATTATAAAATAAGCATCTATTTAGTTAATTATAAAGTTTATAAACAAGTTGAGCACCCTTGGTGCCTTGAACTTCACCAAAGATCCTATTACCGGCTTTGTCTTTGTAAGAATCGTAGCTATTTTCGGCAAGCACTGTAAAGCCCATTTTAGCGAATAGCTAAAAAAATGAACATTCATTGTGATGAATATTTAATAACAGACTTTAAAGTCTTAAAAATTAAATATTCATTTATTACTTTAATGTTTATTGAAATACCCAGTTTTGAACCAAACAATTTTCTACAGCAATGGGCTTGATCAGTCTTTAAGGTCTAAGCCATTAATGTTCAATCTTTGCTTATATTGTCCCGGTAACCGCTAGAGAAATATGAACAAAGAAGATTAGAATCAAACTAAATTGGCAACCAGCAGCGTGGTTGCTCACTATTCGCAGACTTTTGTTATCCGAAAATGTGAAGCTGTTTCTCACTTACAACGATTCCTCCACAGAATTGTCGAACGGGGTTACAACCAAAAGTATTGAAAAATAACCTTTTGTGAATTAATAGCTGTTGCTTCGGTATAACTTCCTTGAATGCCAGCTGCCTTTTGACAATCTAGATCACAAGATAAAAGTTTCTGACAAAGGCCTAATCTTCTGTAATTAGGACTGGTGCAGATTATATGATGAGTTATTAGCCGATTTACTTCTAAAGGAACTTTGCCCCATATCTGAAATTATGTGCACTAGAGAAACAAATTGAGTAATGCAATAAAACTTACTCCATCATCTTAAAAAATCACACGAAACCTGTTTTTCTAATCCACTTAGAACCATAACAATTTTCCTCGCAGCTTCGGTAAGATTCCCATCATCTGTCTCATCGTCCTCACCCTAAAACAGGAGTGTTTTTAGAGGATCATTTTTAGATGTTCAACAGAAATAAGTACTGTTCAACAACCTCTTTTGGTCGACACATAACTTGAGAAATTCGAACTGCTGCAATGTGACCGTCGTGAGTCAAGAAACCACAGCAGTATGAGTCTGATAATGCATCTTTTACACATTCTGAAAAATTAGTACAGATCTTTAAATATCCTCGCCTATCGTGACTAAGCTGAAGTCTTTTTTCTCCCTAAATGATTTAGATTATTCATGCATTACGTCTTCAACCGTTTCACCCTCATTCTAGATGCCGTCATTGTGGGAAGATTTACAGCTTTAATTACAGATCCGTTACTAATACTACTTCATGGTTTTCAGAAGCGTCCAAATCTGACCAGTGAGTTTTTTAGTTATTAAAAAGGTCATCTAATAGCTTTGACAGAACAATTAAATGATATTTTTGGCGATAATCAAAATGCAAAAACTGTCGATTGTTGTTTTTTGATAAACAAATGTAGCTCCTTCTTCTCTTCTAGCAAATCTAATTTAAGAAAAAAAACAGCTTCCAAACTTGCAGTTATGATTTTTGCGTCCTCCTCTTTGAAACCAATTGACACAGCCAAAGGCTCCGTAGATATAAAATTGTGAATTAAAAATTCCATAACCTTCTCGAAATCACACTCGTTAAAATAATTTAAACAAAGATTGGTAACATCTCTGCTCATTTTATCTAGAACAACAATTGTTTATTTGACAAATTTAGACGTCGCCAACATCAATGCAGGCAAACAGCTTGAATGAAAAAACAACAAAGGAACTGCCAAAAATTAAAACAAGTTAAAAGCATGAGTCTTAAGAAAATAGTCTTTTTCTTGGGTTTTAAAAAGAAAAAAAGGTTAAAAAATTCAGAAAAGTAGTTGGCAACAGCAGTGCATCAAAGACTATCTTCAGTGGTCAATTTCCAAAAAGCATATTTTATATTTTCGCAACAGGTTGCCAAATTTTTTAGCAATATTTTTGACGGAAAAGTACAAGCTCGAAACAGACCGAACTGTTTGGTACCATTATAAATTCATTTGAGGTCTGTCTAATTCCTTATAACTTTTCTGGTAAAACATGTATACCAAACAACTAAAGATCTATGAAATTCCTGAAAAAGCGAAATTTGGATATAAATAGAACTTCTCCTAAGATCATCTACTTTTTTGAAGGTTTAAGCTAAAACTTTCTTCCGTAACACCGGTATAATTCTTTCATAACTTTACAAAATATTTATATATTTATTTTTTGCTTATTTAAAAGGTTTTTGAGAGTGCT